TTGTAGACGTGTTAAATGTGACATTCTTACATGTTAGTTCTGTTACACCAGATGGACACAGTGGTCTTGTTAGGACAGGGGGATTATGGGAGTCTTTGTTCCCCCCATATATTTTTCATAGTCTCTATAATGTAGTAGCTGTATGACTTTTATAATAAAAAATTACAGATAGAAACAAATAAAATACTTCTTTAATTCAATTTAATTGAAATCCAGAAATAATTGTTCTCATTAGGTAACTAGACCTTGGAAGTACAAGGGCTAATTTAGATCAGATTAGAGACATTCAAAAGTGGTGATTAGCATACACCAGTTCCTCCAAATATAAATTGCCCTTTCTTGATGACAGACCAGATTTTCTGGGGCACATCTAATTTTGCCCTACTTTTGGATTTCCTAGAACACCCTCCAGGGTCAGGCCAGGAGTGGCTGTCAAAAACATCAAATGTCAGGACTTGGGTATTGCCTGTTAAACCTATTTTTAAGAGTACATTCATATGTGTTCCTAGCAGTTGCCCAAGGAATCTTAAAGGACTTTTGCTGTCGGGGTAGCCTATCATGGTATCTTGGGACAACGAAAGAAACCCAAATTATCAGTAACAGTTGGAGCAGGTGCGCCGACGTTTGCTCCTATGACCGTCAAAACAGAGGAGCATGATTTGCATAAGATGATGAATATTCTTCATTTAACTGGCTAATGTCTTAGAGTAATGAGAAAGAGGAGTGGGTGTGGAGGTGGACCGCCTACAACATTAACCACCAGCCTGAATTCTGCAGCCACTTCCAGAGGGTCAGGGTGAGAAGTGAACAGGATCCCCGGGGAGCAAATGCGCACTTCACCACCACCAACTCCCTCTACCTTCTGCTCCTCCGAGGGACTAATTGAGCAGTGAGTTTTATTGCTTTGATCATTCATGTCATATCTTTTTATCTCTCTCCCGCTTAACTCTCCCTGGTCCGTGAAGGGCAGTTTTGATATCTAGCCCTGTTGAAATCTGCAAGACTGGCTCAACAGACCGTGAGTCCGGAGTATTAAACTACTCACGCCTCTCCCCACTGGAGTGCGGAGAAAAACACATTTTCACCCAATTTTTTTTTGGATAGAGAAATCCCAGAGCTTTGCGATAACTTTGGCTGCAGAAAATAAAAGGGCGACGCTAAGAAGCTTAGAGGACAGGAGGACAGGCTGTGTTTCTGCTCAAGGAAGTTCTTTGTTGGAGATCATATCTTGGGAAGTGTTAGGAGTCATGAATTTAAAATTTCTGGATCCTACAGAATAGGCACCTAAAATTCTTTATTTCTCCAAAAAGGTATGACAATCACATTTGGCAGGGGATGTGTCGCAGAGGATAAATGCTCTTTTCTGCTCCAGCTCCCACCTCCTCTCCCTCCTCCAGAAAAGGAGCACACTGTAAACTCCTCTCCCCGTCAGTTCCAATTGCAAAATGAACTGTGGCTGGGACAAGATAATGTGGGGAAATCAGGTGTCCAAGGACTGCTGATTTCAGCATTTTCCCTGTTGCCATCTGAGCAAAAGGGCTTCCAGGGAGCAGAGAAGCCTCCAAGCGTGAATCCAAATCAGGATAAACGGGGCAAGCTGCCAATGGCCTTCTTTTTCCCCAGCAGGGTTTCGTAAGCACCTTCCCACTTTTTCAAAAATTAGAAGCTCTATTGATTTAGTGCTCACCGTGCTTCTGTGTGATTTATGACCCAGAAGATGTTTGACAGCATTCAGCCTTTTTTGGGGAGGTTCCAGGCCAAAAGCACAATGAAGAACTGTAGAAGGAACTTTTCGTCACTTGCCGATAAAAACCCTAAAAGTCTTATCCCTATCATTCAATTCGCCTTTGCTTGAGGCCCCCTTTGGATAAACCGTGGGGGGAAATGCAACTTCAAATTGGACCACTGTCTCTGTAAATGACTGTGTATTTTATACCAGCGCCACAATATATTTATGAGACCCATAAAGATAAATGAATTAAAACTTATTTTTCCTCCAAAGAACTGGTGATACAGCAGAAATCAGTCATTGTCCAAGAGACTTCTGTAACTCTTCCACAGCGTAGAATGTCAGTCAGGGGAAGCTCTACATCCAGGGACCACATTTCCTAACCTCCTTGCACTTAGATGAAGCCATGAGACAATTTCCATCTCTTCATGGGAGCAGAGCTGTTGGACGTCTTGTGGCCTTGGCCCCTGACTTCATCCAGGTGCACACACGTGCATATCGTACACTTCTCCACTCTCTCTTCCTCTTTTGTCTGGGTCGGGTGGAGAAGAGTCCCAGGGCAAGCTGGAAACCACAGATTGAAAACATCAAAAAACTTCCATCGGCCTGGGTCCCTGAATGACTGTGTGGAAGAAGGATATCTGCTATCGTATTAACCTGCCCTCGCTGTTATGAAACCAGGAAGAAACACACTGCTGTGAAGTGTGAACCGGTATATAATTTTTAGGTTTATTAAGGAGAGCAGTTAGCCTACCCCACTAACACGTAGGAAGAAATAAATGTATTCAAACGATAATGATGCAACATTGTGAGCAAAATGGAGGAACGGGGAGAAACACGCAAGTGGCCGAGGTTCTTTAGTGAAAACCCCGGGCCAGGAGCAGTGCCTTATTGTTAAAAAGCCATAATGGGCAAGGACACCAGAATGGGCAAAGGAATCCTCTTCAGTTCAAATTTGTGTTTTCCAAAGTGCTAACAGGAATCAGAAGTGAAAGAAGTTGTTCACAGAACTGGGTGACACAAAGCCTGACAGATCTCTTCCTGTCAGACGTCCCCAAAGACATAACATTCTGATGAACACTGGATAAAAGCTGCTTAAAACTCCCCAGTGAGTGTGCCAGGTCTTGGCCATGTGCTCCCCACAGGCCTGTATGTCACGGGCCTGATCCCCGGGGTGGGACTACTGGGAGAGAGAGAGAATCTTTGAGAGGTGAAGTCTGTAGGTCATTGGAGGAATGCTCTCCAGGGGATTCGGGACTCTATCCTCTTCCTCTCTTTCTTTGGCATCCCAGCCAGGAGGTAAGCCCTGATGTGCTGCCGACCAGAAGTCCAAAGCACTGGGCTAAGTGATCTTCGACTGGAAGCTCCCAAACCTGAGTCAAATATAAGTGGATTATCTCAGGTATTTTGTTATAGTGACAGAAAGATGACAAACACAGACTGCCTGCCCTAATCAGAATAAAAGTCAAGTCCTCGTCCCAGTCTACAAGAACTTACATGATCCACTCGCCGTCTTTTTTTTCTAACCTTACCTGGTGCCATGATCCACGAGAGTTCAGACACCGAATGACTTGTTCATCATTGTGCCCCCAGAACTCAGTTCATAATTTTTTAAAAAAACACATTTTTAGTTGTAGATGGACACAATACCTTTATTTTATTTATTCTTTTTTACGTGGTGCTGAGGATTGAACCCAGTGCCTCATACATGCTAGGTGGGTACTCTATCACTGAGCCACAATCCCAGCCCCTCAGTTCATAATTTTTTAAAGCATTTCTCAAACTTACTTGAGAAATCTAAAATGAAGAGCATTCAGGGAACTAGTATTCTTTGGGACACATTTTGGGAAAACCCCTGTAATTTCTTAAGTACTCAGTGGTACATGAGAACATAGCAAGAGGTTGCGGTTCATCTTTTAAGATACCAGGGAAAAGAAGTGTCTGGCACATGGCCACAAGCCTGTAATTCCAGTTACTCAAGAGGCTGGGGCAGGAGGATTGCAACTTGGAGGCCAGCCCGAACCACTTAGCAAGACCCTGTCTTAAAGTAAAATAAAAAGGACTGTGTATAGAATACCCCTGGGTTCAACCCCAAATACTGGAAAACAACTCCTTTTCTGCTCTGTGAGAAGTCCTGCACACAGATTCCCAAAAGAGGTGCGGAGTGGAGAGTCAGATGCTCCAGGACTCTAGTGCTTCTCTCTTCAACAACACAGATGTGAGTGATGAATGTTTTGCCAGGTCCAAGAACCCCCCTGGGTTTAGGAGCCAAGTGTCAACAGCACTTAGCTTATTTGATCTCTAAGAATGGCAGATCTGACCAGCCATTGGGTTCTGAACCGATTTAGTTATTAGTAGCTTCTCTAGGCAAAGTGGAAAATGGGGTCTGCTTGGTTTGGATGAACCCCCACTTTCCTTGTCTAGCTTTCACAGCTTCCCCCAGCACTTGAGAACAGACGGGGCTCACCTGCCACAGGTGTTATCCTGCAGGGAGTGTAGCATTTGCTGCAAAGTCCTGTGAGTTCCGCCCTCATTGTTACCATCATCGGACATTTGCTGATCACCTCATCCAGAGCTCTGCATGCCACACATCTCCACCTAGCAGTCCCCTGTGAGAAAAGAGAGGACAGAGCAGTTAATCATGAGCAACCCCCATCTGTTAATCATGTAAATGCGACAGAATTCATCATCTGCTTTTGGAGACACAGAGGTTAAGTGCTTTGTCCCACCCTACACATCAAGAAGACACTGACAGCCTGGAGTGGAGTTGGGAACATTGACAGCGCCCACCTTCTCTCTCCCCCAAAGTGTGAGTAGCTAAAATACCTCCATCGTGGAAGTCAGCAAATGGCGGTGAAAGGCAAACTTAGAGCTTCCGGAGCAATTGACTGATGCTTGCAGTAAAACTATGAGAGAGATTCCAAGTAGAAATGTTCAGTCAACAGCCTCCAATCTTCTCCACATTGAAAGGCAAGTTGGGTTTGCTGAATTTCATCCCACCCAGACTATAAAACAAATGAGTGCCATTTAAAGAAAGGGTTTCAAAATCCTCCAATCACATCAACTCATTTACTCCTCATTTCCAAGCTTGTTAAATAAAGCAGAATCCCATCTCATCATATCAGAAAGCAGTTCAGGCAGGATCTAAAGAAATATGTTTCCTGGACGTTATTCGTTATACGACTTTTTCTTAAAGTGCCACAAAAAAAAACAAAGACAAAACCCCAAACCTAGAATGTATTAGTTGGCGTTAGCCCCTCTCCAGCTCCAGCTTTTGCCTGGCAAATTTTATATTGTATCGTTTAGGGAATTTCCTAAGAAGACAGCTTCTCTGGGTCAGTGGGCCTCAGAAGTGGGCATCTCAGTTCTCTTGAGGCCAAAAAGATACCGATTGACTTTTCCTAAACTGGATTTCAAGTTCTCGCTGGGGACGAATGTCTCATTTGACTCTGGTTTACCTGCTAAGCCCCTTCCTTTTCTCCATCACTGAGCTAGTTTTCCAAGGCAAAGAAGCTGCTAAACGCACGGATCTATGAAGCTGAGATGGAGACTTGATCCTCAGGTGGATACACTCACCTCTCTGTGTCCTAGGGAGAGAGTGTTCCATCTTGGAACTCCATTAAGAGGGCATGGAGTGAGCCAGTGTGGAGGAACCCACAGAAGGTGATTGCTATGATTGGGATCTTGAGTCTCCTCCAAAGGCCCTTGGCTTAAAGGCTTGGTCCTCAGGGTGGCGCTAGTGAGAGGTGGTGGAGCCTTTTAGAGGTGGGCCTTGTGGGAGGTCTCTACCTCCATGGAGGCCTGTCCTCAATGAAGATCTTGGGACTCTGGCCTCTGCTTCTCTCTTTTCTGATCCATGACTCATGATAAGCAGTTTTGCTCTACCATCTGTTCCTGCCATGATGTGCTACCTGGCCACAGGCCCAAAGTAACGTACTGGAACCTCCAATTCTGTGAATCCAAAGAAACCTTCTCTTTTTATATGTTGATTATCTGAAATGTTTGTTACAGTAACAGAAACCTGGTTAACACAGCAAACTTCCTTCAAAGGCAGCTTGTTACCTGTAAGAGCAAGTCCTAATTCCCTAGGAGAATTGAAAAGACATGACATGATCTGACCTCCTTCAGTATCTTAATCCTTCACCTTTTATCACTCTTTTATATGAATCCTGACCTCCAGTCTCGTTGATGTGCTGAAGTTGCTGGGATGTTCTAGGCCTCTGACTTTTAAATGTATTTCTTTGCCCTCTGACTTTTAAATGTATTATTTGTAGTTGCTGGGAATTCTTCAAGGAAGTTCAAATGCCCCTTCCTCTGGGAAGCACATGCCAGGTAGAGTTCAAGTCTTCTACCTTTGTGCATTCATAGCACCTTGTTCTACATCTTTATTTCATAACACGTTTTATGGAATTTCTGTGTTTTCATGCTAGTCCTCTACTAAATTTGGGACTCCTGGAGGTAAACTGCTGAACAAACCTTTGCTAAATGAAGGATTTGATTATTAGAAATGTAACTTAAAATTGTTTTCTGATGACGGTGGACTGGAAGTCTCATGTTTCCTACATACTTCCACCTATAGGCCTTGGATATTCATTCTATAAATCTTTCTATTGTGGGTCTTGGCATCTGCTAATGACCCTCTGGAATTACATGGAAATAGCCTTATAAATTTTATAGAGGAAAAAAAACTTTAAAATTCTTATGGAAAAATATTCCAAATCACTCTTTATTTCCATCCAGTGCATTAAATTAGTGACAGTGTGTACCATATTAGTGAGATTCCATTTCATCCCCGTCCATCTGTGAGAAGCTGTGGGAGAGGAATTCGTCAAGAATAGAATGGTGGAGTAAGTCGATACCAGTACATATGATTTTTTAAAGCTGCAAATATGGGGGAAAGAATGTTCCTGAATGTGTTATTGCATGATTTATGATGCTCTCAGTCCTAAGAAGCAAATTAAAGTCTAGCAGATGGTTCTCAGAAGCCCTGTAACTATAGTTACATGTTTTAAAAGTCAGAAACATCCTAGTGAATTGTTATTGAGTTGTTGAGCTTCTCCAAGATGCAGGCGGCGTCCGCACCAGGAAGCGTGAGTGGGATCTGCGGCAGCCAACCCTTCGGCTCATTTCATGACAGGTAGTTCCCAGTGGCCCTTCTTAGGCAGCTCCAGTCTCCAGGAAGAAATCCTGCGAGTGGCCCTGGTCCCAGCTGGTAGGTGATGCTTAATGTGGACTCCTGTGTTTTGCACAGAGAGAGATTTGTATTGGGTGTGTTCACAGAAGTGCCCCAGGTCCTTGGATAAGTGTTGGTGCACAGTAACTGTTTGCTAATGAATGAATGACAGAGTGTGACCCTTGGACCTCTCAGGGCCGCATCTATGAGCCCACGGTGCTCCTGTATTTTCTCCTAGGAGGGATGGGATCATGGAATTCCTGGCCTAAGTTCTGGAGTGTGAGTCGACTCTTCCCTCCCCACCACCCACCCAGCCCAGATTTTGCTCTGATTTCCACTCAAGATTCACTCCCCTGATGCACCTGTATTCCTCTTGATCTTCTAGAAAACTCTTTGCTTCTCGAAGGCTTCAGATGGCTACTGTTTGCTGGGATTACACTTTGCCTGTGTTTCACCCAAGCCAGGCCACCAAGCACCTGCTTCCTCTGTGCTGTGTAATGACAAGTCTGGCCTCGCTCAGCCCCTCCTCCCTGTGAGTACACAGCCGTGCCTGTCCAGCCGATCCTCAGGTAGGGCAAGTTTTGAAAGAAATTATGAGCCACTGACGTCCTGGCACCGAAGCCAAGACGATCTTCGGAGACTTACTGATGCATCGATGCAATTGGACACCTGAGTTATTTCTTTACATGGTTGATACATTTTTCCAATGGAGTCCTCCTGGCCTGAGACATAAAATCCCAACCCCAGAAGACTCGACTTCTCCTTTCAATGGAGTTTTTCAGACAAGACCCTTTAGAGAGGACCAAGGGTCATTTTAATCAACACGAAAGGCATCTCTTATGAAGATGGCTTTGCTGACAAATAATTAAGATGAATTGCTAGCCTGTCCTTGTCCCAGCTGCCTCCTGGGTGTCCATTTGGAGTAAGCATATGAATGAAGTTCACAGTCCACGCCTCAGCTCTTTAAAAGCAATTTATAACCCAACTTGCCATCCTAACCACCTCAGAAGATTTTCATCCTAAACCTGTCACCACCCATTATTTTCACGGGGTCCCGACAGTTCTACATTATAACAATTTATAAGTAAAAGTTAACAAGGCCTGGAGAGAGTGATTTATGCTTCTGTGTGCGAACCGGTCCACATTCCTTCCCCGGCCAGAGATACCCCGGAGCTCTCTATGGGCTGAAGGAAGAAAATTATCTCAGGAAGACGAATGGCTTGTGCCGCTGGGCAGGTGGCTGATGTGTGGTCCTGGGCCCCAGGCCTGGCAGGAAGCAAAGCTTATGAGTGTGATGAACAAACCACAGCCTCACCCGACTTCGTTCCTGTCACCGTCATCCTGGGTCTCTGTCACTTCTCAGGCACCTGGCGGTGTGAAGGAGGAGTTGGCTTTTCTCTGTGTTGAAATGTTGGAGAATTCAAAGTCTTATTGATTCGTCAAGGCCTAGCGGGAGGAGTCATTCAACGGTCCTATCTGCCCCTGACAAATATGGACAGGGGATAGGAGCCAGGAAAGTCATTAGGAAGTTGACGCTCAGCTCTCCTCCCAACCTGTCCCCAAAAACCACACATCAGAGACCTCAGAAGAGCCCAATGCCTTCTCTCTTGAATCCTGATCCCCCTGTCCCAGCGTGGTGATGACCTTCTGGGAATTTAGCCCTTCTCTAAAAGGACACCCGCCCCCACCCCAGCGCCTTCATTGAGCTGTCATAACCAATTCTATAGTTGGGGTGCCGTAAGCAGCAGGGGTTTGTCTTCTCACAGTCCTGGAGGCTGGAAGTCCAAGATGAAGGTGTCCACGGGCTTGGAGGTCCCTTTCCTTGACTCTCAGATGCCACCCCCCTTGCTGCGTGTTCACATGCTCTTTCCTCTGTGCCCAGATGTCCCTGGGGTCTCAATGTGTCCAAATTTCCTCTTCTCATAAGGACAGCAGTCAGACTGGTGGGGGCTTATTGTCACGGTCTCACGTGAGCTTAATGGTCTGTCTCCCAAACCCACTCGCAGTCTGAGGCGCTGGGGATCAGGGCTTCCACATGTGAACTTGGAGCGTGGGGACACAATTTAGCCCACGACACCAGTCAACTGCAAAAGCCGTCCGGCCGAAAGCACTTGCCGCAGAAGTCTACCAAGGGGTCTGTCTCACTCTTGGTGTGGTCCAAATAATCCCCATTTTTGAGAAATGGAAGACAACTGTTTTAGTCAGGGTTTTTTGCTGTAGCTGTTTTGTTTTGTTTTATTTGCTGCTGGGACTAAGAGGCCTGACAAGAATAATGGTAGAGGAGGAAAAGTTTATTTGGGAGACTCACAGTTTCGGAGATCTCAGTCCATAGACAGCCAGCTCTATTCGTTGGGGCTTGAGCTGAGGCAGAACATCATGGCGGAAGAGTGTGGTGGAGGGAAGCAGCTCACAGGATGATCAGGAAGCAGAAAGAAAGTCCACTCACCACATACAAAATATCAACTCCAATACCTTGCCCTCGATGCCCACCTCCTCTACCCACAGTCTACCCACCTTCAGTTACCACTCCATTAATCCCATCAGGGGATTAATTCACCGACTGGTTAAGTGTCTCATAACTTAGTCATTTCACCTCCGGATGTTCTCGCACTGTCTCACGGAGGAGCTCCTGGGGAACACCTCTTATCTAAACCATCTTCACAACACGAATAGAAGCCCCTCATTAGGAAGCAAGCTATCAAAGAACTTACAAAGAACTCAGCAAGACCAACTCCTTTGATGCAACCTTTGTCCAGTCTCTCTCTCTCTAAAGAAGGGGACTTTTCCTTTCTCCTCTTATTCAATCACCTCTCTCATGAAGACAGCATCCTGGGCTGGGGATATAGCT